TCATCTATCCACTCACTCTCCACAAGATCTTGTCCTTCTGACCTTTATAGCCCTTTCCACAAATCTGCCTCATTTCAATACTCCTTTATTGTCCGCTCCACCACCTTTTGGTATTCCATCCCACTTAAAAGTACAGATGTAAATTATTTATAGTAAATATTTATCTGCTCTTTTATTATTATTTTTTTATTAATACAATGGTATGACAACAAAAGTAATTTATCGTTCATTTCAAACTTCATTTAGTATTTGATAGTTTATTGTTTGTAGCAACTATTTTGCAGTATTCTGACAATATTACTCATATTATTTCTTTAATATATCTGTATAGTTATGTAAATACTTCTGTTGTTACTTATTTTTTAATTTTAATATGCATTTTGGCCAGATGTTATGTTAATTTTTATGTACAACATTGTTATTCTTAAGGAACTTTGTCCCAGAATAAAGTTGATTCTTCTACTCTATTCTATATATATATATATATATATATATATATATATATATATATATATATATATATATACACATACACCTTAATTGCAAGTTATTAAAAATGATTTAATAAATTAATGTAACAGTTAAAAAGCAAACTAATCTAGTTTCATTAGTTCATAGAAAAGAAAATAGCTGCTCTGTAGTTTCCTTAGATAGGTAAATTCCAAAGAGGAGAGGGGAGGGACAAAGGATTTTGTTTTGGCAAGCAGTTATTGTTTGGCTGCAGTGAAGAGAGGATAGGAGAAGGAATCCTGGCTCCAGTGGGTAAAACTCAGTAATAGTATCACCATTTTGGAAGTTGTGTTTGGCAGAACATTGGAAAGCATTTGAAGAAAATAAATTTAATGCAACAAAGGAAGAAACAGTATCTATAGAAAAAAGATTAGCTTGCCAATCCATACTTGACTTTATTTTAAAATCAAACAGTGTTTATTGTAGTTAATGTTAGTCTGTCTGAGTGTTCTGATCTGATTGTCAGTAACCTATACCTTGAGATAAAATAATTATAAATTTCAATTTAATATATAGCATTTCCAAGCCAATTTCAACCTTTTCCAAATCAAATTCAACCTTTTCCAAGTCAAATTAAACCTTTTCCATTTCAAATTCATCCTTTTCCAAGTCAAATTCAACCTTTTCCATTTCAAATTCAACTTTAGAATTTTTGTCAATTTTCGATTTTTTTCGAAATGAAGGCCACTTACTATATTATCGACGGCATAGCTTTTAAAAAATACAAAAAAAAATTTGATTACGCAGTTGCATATCCATTTATTTTAACATTTTAGATTTTTTCAGTGTGATATTTCTATGTGATATTCAATTATTTCCAAGTCAAATTCAACCTTTTCCAAGTCAAATTCAACCTTTTCCAGATCAAATCAAACTTTTTCCAAGTCAATTCAACCATTTCCATTTCAAATTAAACCTTTTCCAATTCAAATTCAACCGTTTTCATTTCAAATTAATGTTTTAAGTTTTTGTAAATTTTATATATTTTTTTTAAATAATGGCCATCCCCTCCCCCCCCTCCAATATGAAAGTCTATTATTATGCTCTCCTAAGTAGAATTTTCACTTAAGGATATCGATTTATTGTACCTATTCGGATTTCTTAGGGACTAGTATTGTGCTGTCCTGTACCTAGTTTTGAAAATGACATCCATTTTATGTTTACGCCACTGTGTTTTGACTTATTTAAGTTTTTAGAATTTATCCAATATAAAGGTCTACTTTTATGTTTCTGGAGCTGTAGATTTTGAAAATGACCTCCATTTTAAGATTAGGCCACCGCGTTTCGACTTATTTGAGTTTTTCGGATATTTTTCATATGAGGATGTATTCTTATGTTTCCGGAGCCGTAGATTTTGAAAACGACCTCCATTTTAAGATTAGGCCACTGCATTTCAATTTCTTTGAGTTTTTCGGATTTTTTTCATATGAGGATGTATTCTTATGTTTCCGGAGCCGTAGATTTTGAAAACGACCTCCATTTTAAGATTAGGCCACCGCATTTCGATTTCTTTAAGTGTTTCGAATTTTTATCATAAAAGAGTGTATTCTTATGTTTCCGGAGTCGTAGATTTTGAAAATGACCTCCATTTTAAGATTATGCCACTGCGTTTCGGCTTATTCAAGTTTTTCGAATTTATCCAATTTAAAGGTCTACTTTTATGATGCCACAGCCTTAGTTTTTAAAACGACTTACATTTTAAGATTAGGCCACTGTGTTTCGGTTTTGTTAAGTGTTTTTGATTTTTCCTTCGAATAAAAAACATAATACGAAGGATTAATTTATTTTTCAATAAATAAATAAAAATATCTAATCAAAATAAATAAAATATGTATTGTCTCATTTTTAATTTAATTTTAGTTATCTTTTTTAATGTTGTGGTCTCCTATCACAAAATTATAAGATTTCGAACAATTAGCTGAAAAATCTGAATACGGAAGGTTAAATTTATTACCAGTTGCTTTTCGGCTTTTTAGTTTGTATTCTGTGGTTAATTTTACTTTAGCTTCATAATATTTATTTATTTATTCATACTCGAAAACATATTGATGAAACTTTGTATTGAAAAAATCCAAAATGAAGCCTAATTAATCAAGATGCAGCGGCTTAATCATAAAATGGAGCTTAAATATTAGATAAATTTAAATATTAAAGATTAGAAAAATTTCAATACGTCTCGGATAACATATAAGTAGATCCTTATACCGAAAAAGTAAAAAAAAAAACTTTTATAATCCAAAACAGTGGCATAAACTTTAAATTGGGTCATTTACAAAATGGGAGAAATCTACTGCTCCAGAAACATAAAATTAGACCTTTATACTTGTTAAATTCTAAAAATTTAAATAAGTTGAAACGCAGTTGCGTAATCATAAAATAGAGGTCATTTTCAGAATCTACGGTTCCGAAAACATAAAAGTAGACCTTTAAATTGGATAAATTCAAAAAACTTAAATAAGTCAAAATGCAATGGCGTCATCATTAAATGGATGTCATTTTCAAAATCTACGGCTCAAGAAACATAAAAGTAGACCTTAATATTGGATAAATTCGAAAAACTTAAATAAGTCAAAACGCAGTGGCGTAATCATAAAATGGAGGTCATTTTCAAAACCTACAGCTCCGGAAACATAAAAATACACCCTCATATGAAAAATATCCGAAAAACTCAAATAAGTCGAAACGCGGTGGCCTAATCTTAAAATGGAGGTCATTTTCAAAATCTACAGCTCCGGAAACATAAAAATAAACTCTCATATGAAAAATATCTGAAAAACTCAAATAAGTCGAAACGCGGTGGCCTAATCTTAAAATGGAGGTCATTTTCAAAATCTACGGCTCCGGAAACAAAAAAGTAGACCTTTATATTGGATAAATTCTAAAAACTTAAATAAATCAAAACACAGTGGCGTAAACATAAAATAGATGTCATTTTAAAAATTTACTGATCGGGAAACATAAAAATACACCCTTATATCGAATAAGTCAAAAAAACTTAAATAATTCGAAACGCAGTCACGTAATCTTAAAATAGATGTCATTTTAAAAATTTACTGATCGGGAAACATAAAAATACACCCTTATATCGAATAAGTCAAAAAAACTTAAATAATTCGAAACGCAGTCACGTAATCTTAAAAAGGAGGTTATTTTAAAAAACTACTCATACGATAACAGACCCACGCATCGAAAAATTAAAGATGATTAAATAAATAAAAAAAGGTTGAATTCGAAATGGAAAAGGTTTAATTTGAAATGGAAAAGGTTGAATTTGACTTGGAAAAAGTTTAATTTGATTTGGAAAAGGTTGAATTTGACTTGGAAAAGGTTGAAATTGACTTGGAAATGCTATATTAATACTCATAATTTGATTTTAATTTAACTACTTCTTATTTCTTTTGGAAGTATCCCAAAAGTATAAAGTGATCTGCTGAGGTTACATTATTATTAGTAAAATATAAGAGAAATGTTACAATATATATTGCATATAATATAAAAGTGTTTGAAACTCAAAATAAATATAAGTGCAATAATAAAATTTATAACTGCGCTATTTAAAATATCGAACTTTTTTAGGTAAGAAAAAAATTTGTATATACAAAGAAATATATAATTCGAATCCCACTGCTGGTGTCCTTTTTTTAAAAATAATAGTTTTAATTTTTATGATCACTTACAGTTATTTTTGTGATCATTTTCAGTTATTTTGCTTTTCAAAAATGAGCAAATGCGAAGTATTGTGGGATTGGCGTCTAATTTTGCATTATTTTGTGCAAAAATAAAATCCGTTTTTATGGACGTCTTCATGGATTTCAGGATGCAACGTATGGTAGAAACTCACAATTGAGCTCTCACAGTCAAATGGTTAACAAACACAGCTTCAACACTAATATTTAAACACTTTAAAATCTCATATATTATAGTGTATTCCTAAGGTGTCTTAAAAATTCTTGAAAGTTTAATAAAACTGTTTTGGAATAATAATATTAGAAATTTCAAGTCGATTAAAAAATAAAGTTTTCATTATTATTTTTAATACAATCAAATTTCTAAAATTGGTCGGGTCTTTATGATGTATAGGAACCTATAATTCCTTCCTTCAAACCTTTAATGTTCTGCATTGTCTCATTCCTAGTGTGTCTTAAAATTGATCAATTAACCAATTTAAGGACAATTCAAACAAATATAATCGATCATTTGTCTGTTAAGTTCCCAGAATATGAGTCTCACTGGTTTACTGTTATAAAGAAACTTTTAAATAAAAATCCTTCCATCAAGGCTGTCTGTTTCTATTATTCAGAAGTTCTCAATGCAAAAAATTATAGGGATTAATAAATTTGTCCTCTGCTAAGAGAAGTTTTGTTAGATATTAAGTAGAATTAAATGTTGGAATCAGTATTAAATCAAGTTGATTATAACACTCAACACATTGCAATGCACTTTTAATTTTAATAAAGAATTCTATTTATAATTAAAATAATTATACTCACTACATGCTGGTTTTGATGTAGAGTTGGGGTAACAGCAAGTTGTGGTTGCTGGGCTTGCTGCATACTATAAAATGGATTAGATGTTATATTCATGCCAACTACATTTTGTTGAAACATAGGAACCTATAAAATAATAGAATACTTTCATTAAATGAAAAAAAAAAAAATCACTATTATATCATAATTAATTCAAAATTATTCCAGGAAAAAATTAGGAGAATATTTTGAATAATAGAAAAGCATATTATATAACAGTAGAAAATAAAATTACTAATTCCAAAATTATCAAGGAAAGTAAAAGTTTGCAAAAAACGTTAATTCAAGTTACACCACTTAGTAATCTGTAAACAATTAACAAATTAATAAGAAGGAAGATAGATAACAGTAATTGTACACATTCTGCATATTCAACCTTAATTACTATTGTTTCAAAGTCATCACATCATCAATATAATAATAAAAGGCTTAGTGAACCCGAAAGCTCGATGCCGACACCACCAATCGCTTATTACACACCTCCCTCCACTGTTCGCCGTCAAAACCTGGTCCATTCAGATCGGCTTTAATGTAATCTTCCCACCTTCGCTTCGGTCTACCCCTCGGACGTTTAACATTATGTAAATTACCTATTAAAAGTCTAATTGTAAATAATTTGTTTTGGCAGGAATTGCGAATAGCCTTCCGCTTTTATAACGGGGATCTAGGTTATTTACACTCGTTATTAAAACTAAACCCCGCACTGGATATAGACTTTTTGAGGGTGTTAACTGTCGTTGGGAATTCAGTCATAGATTCTTCTAAAATAACGATTGTCCCAAAATTCTTTCCATCATTAGTTGTTTTCTTTATTTTTTCATCAGCAGGACTTCCATCTAAATGTTCATTATCCTCAACTACAATGTTTTCAATACTTTGTACATTTATGGATCCTCTCCATCTTTAGTTTCCATAGTACTTTCATCATTATTACTTCCTAGTGGTTCACCATCTTGAATAGGTGAGCTCTCTATAATAGTGACATCTTCAGACTTGGTTTTTTGTTTTTTATTGGTTTCATTAAAAAAAGTAGTTTGATATGTTAACTTCGTGTTTAATTCACCTGTGTCATTTTTATTGATGCACTTTTGAACTTCTTGGTTGGACTCTGTGATTGTTTCATCTAGTTTGTCAAATTTGTTATTTAAATTTCGTATATCCGATCTTAATTCCTGTTTTAACGATGTGTTTAAATTTTCTATATCTGATTTTAATTCCTGTTTTACCGATGTGTGTAAAATTTTTATATCCGATCTTAATTCCTGTTTTAGCGATGTGAGTGTAGCCAAAAATGTTGCCATGAAAGCATTTGGCTGGGCTGTTACTTGCTCATTTGTTTGGGGTTGGTACAGACCTGTGATCTCAACCATGTTTGTTTGTAAAGAGATCTCATCTATCCCTACAATTTCACTAACAACTGGGTTATTAGGCATTATTAATTTCTGTGCAAAACAGAAATATGAAAAATTCATATGTGTTTGGAAAACGGTTACGTATTTTTTCGAAACCTACACACGGTTTTAACAGTTTAGCGTGGCCATTTTAAAATTTCAGAATAAACAAACTTTTTTCTTTTTAAATTAAATAATCATTAATCTCCCGCGATCCAATCAACAGTTTACTTCTGTTCGGCGCCAATTGTAAATAATTTGTTTTGGTGGGAATTGCGAATAGCCTTCCGCTTTTATATCGGGGAACTAGATTATTTACACTCGTGATTATTAAAACTAAGCCCCGCGGCACTGGATATAGACTTTTTGAGGGTGTTTAACTGTCGTTGGGAATTCGGGAATCTAATACCTTTTTGTGACACTGAGTGAGAAGAAACAATAAGAATATATATATAAAATGTGGGACTGAGTAAATACACTTTGAATGAATTGACTCACCTGGATTATTATTCTTCGATTGTGAGGCCTATAAGACAACTAAATAAATAAATGACTTTTCACTCCTGTCTAACAAAACAATTTATTTTACAACTGTAATAAGTGAATCTATTAAAGTCTTATAACTGTAGGTTTGATATTCTTGGTCTTCAATGTCCTGCCTTTCTCATCTCAGGTAACGTACTGTCCTCTCGCCTCCTTCTCTCTTCTGACAACCTCCTTTCTACCTGTCCTGGCCTAGAATGCCTTTTCTTCTCTCTCGCGTCTTTCTCCTGCTGTTGCTACCTGCTCCATCCTTTTTCCAGTGTCCTTCTTCATCGATTGTTTATCGATATGAGACTTTTCAATGAATAATTTGTCCACTGTACAATTGAGTACAATTCATCGTGCAACCTCACATTCTTTTATATTCCTTCTCGTTCCCTCACACAATGTCACATAAAGGAGAAAATACAGGGGAATGTCTACCACAATTCGGTACAGCAAATATTAACCTTTTATGAATTCTCGTTAGTAAGCCCAACAATTGTACAAGCCCATTTGATTCGTATCTCACCTCATCCCTCCTTTAAAAAATCCTTAACGACTCACATCCCAAAAAACATATCCATTCTCCTTTGGAATGCGAATGGTGTTAGAAATCAGGTTGACGAACTAACAGCTTTACTACAAGACAAAACATTAACGTACTCCTAATTACAGAAACTCGACTGACCATAAAACAGCATTTAAAAATTCCACAGTACATAACATACCGTACTGATCACCCTGACGGTAGAGCACATGCCAGTACTGCTGTCATCGTACACCAATCCCTCTCCCATCACTTACTCCCATTACCTACTCAAGGTTTCCTACAGTCAACTGCTATTGTAAAACCTTATCCTTTTCAGTCATCGTTGCATCAGCATATTGCCCTCCTAACATATCCATATTCAAAGTCCAGTTCAGTTCTCTCCTCAACTCCTTAGGTCATCATTTCATCCTGGGTGCAGACTTAAATGCCAAGCATCAAGTAAGGGGTTCAAGAACCACGAATTCTCGTGGCAGAACATTTCTGTATGCACTCAATTCCCAACTTTTCAGCCTCCTTCCACCCAACTCATCAACCTACTGGCCCACAGATCCTAACCGCAATCCCGATATCCTTGGATTTTTTCATCCACAGTGGCTTAGGTCCCCTCAATCATTCCCTTACCCGTCTTGCCGAACTATCCATTACTCCAATTATCTCTAGCTCCTATTCCTAAGTCTTCTCCACCGTCCTTCATCAGAGGTCCAGTTAACTGGAAACTCTTTCACCAAATCCTTTCCGATAAAATTGACATCAGAATAACCCTGAAAACCCCAGGTGACCTTGACAATGCCGTACACCTGTTTACCACCACTATCCAACAAGCAATCTGGACTGCTTCCTCTCCTTTAATTTCCTAGGTTTTTCCCAATTACCCTAACATGTTAGCTTCCCCTATACCTGCCCTTACCCTTGGTTTTCAGTTCTAAGTGAAACTCCAAGCTGAACACACCTCTAAGTCCCTAATTTTATTCTTACATTTTATTTACTTATTTATCTAATTTTTCGTTTCTTTCTCCACATTCCTTTATGTCTATTATATCCTTTTTCCTTTTCTTTCAATCTCTCCTGTAGATTTGTAGAAGTATATTCACATTTTCATTTATTATATATTACACTACAACAATTGTTAGCATCTATTTACTTCAGTTTAGGATCTTGTTACTCAGCTTACTTTGTTCATATTTTATTGTACTTACTGTTTATAATTTTAATAAGCTTATTCACATTGTTTATAAATTATGTCTAAATATTATGTAACTGCCACAATTCTCTATCTTTTTGTATCTTGTCCGTTCTAGCCCTGAAGAAGACCTGCAAAGTCGGGTCGAAACGTTGGCTTTCAATAAAATAGTTTTACCACTATTTAGCCTATTTATGACCGCAAACCCGGACCATCTCCTTCCTTTGTAATGCAACGGTCAACTATTAAATATTCAATATGCATCATATTTATGGATGAAATCCATAAAATTTGTAAGCACCGTACTCCTTGGACGCTCATCGGTAAATGGAACATGAGGAATGTTATGGTTCAAAGCTTATTGTATGCCGATGACATTGTACTGATAGCAGATATGAAAGACAAACTGCAATAAGCCCTTGTGGAATGGCAGGAAGAGTTCCGAAAAAGAATGGCTATCAACATCTCTAAGAGCAAGATCTTAGTTTCAAGAGAGGAACAAGATGTCCAGCTGATCTGTAATGGCGAGGTTGTGCAAGAATTTACCTATTTGGGGACAGTCATAAGCAATATGGGGAAGATTGACCCAAAAGTAGCAAATAGGATTTGCAAAGCCAACCAGCTTTATTATCCTATCTGTAACACCACAGTGGGACACAGAGACGTTAGAAATGAAACAAAAACCCATATATTCAAATCTGTGTACCTACCAAACTTTACTTACGGAAGTGAAAGTTGGGTTATGTTGGACAAGCAGGCCAGCCGGATAACAAGTGCTGAGATGAAGTTCCTGTAGAGGGCCATTGGTAAGTCCAGAAGGGACCATTTCAGGAATGAACGGTTACGGGTGGAGCTGTAGGTGGTAGATCTTAAGACTATGCTTGAAAATCGACAACTGAAGTGGTTTGGCCACAAATGTCAGATGGATGATGAAAGAGAACCTCGGAAAGTGATGGAAGCACGACCCACTGAGAGGAGACCACGAGGCCGTCCTAGAGTTTCCTACCAGGAGTGCATGAAGTGGATTGGAGGGAAGAGAGGGAAAACTCTCAGAGATATGGCAGCTTGTCCGGAACGAGAGGCGTGGCTGCGTTGGATCAACCATTCTACGACGCTAGGAATGGCATCAGAGATAGACAAAGAACAAGTTAGATCCATCTATGATTGTAGCTATATAGTAGATATTAGAAAAACAAAATATATTTATTTTTTTATTGCAATGAAAATTTCCTTAATATTTAAATATATATTTAACAGTTTTAATATCAACTGCTAGTCATAATAAGGCAGAATATTGAGCGAAAAAATTACATTTTTCAATTGCAACGAAAATAGTTATTTAAGGGCTTTTAGGGGTGGTTAGGGTTGAATATCATATTTTTTTATTCCAAAAAAATATATTTGATGGTGTAACATGTGTGTAATATGTACAATAAATGCT